TTTATTTATATTATATTTATATATTTATGTTGTGATTATCAAACTAACAGAGTGTTATACATGCACATTTTCGTGTAACTCGGGGTTAACTTCCCAGTAAAGCAATATTTTAACCAATTTCGACACATTTCAAACACAGTCGCCCAGAATTTAACGTTCAGAATTTAACGTGATTTCGTCAGGCTTCATTGACCGCTTGGCAATTAACTCAGATAATTTTTTTTCGATTAATTTCCCATCAGCATCAGCGCCACGACTCTATCCCCATGCAACAATGGCGGACACGCAGTTTATGCAACAATGACGGTGTATCTCCCTTACGGCCTTCTTTGCTATCGTGTTGTTAAGGTGGAAGTCGCTATTTCCTTCAAATAATTTTCTATTAATTTCCCATCAGCATCAGCGCCGCGACTCTATCCTCAACAATGGCGGACACGCAGTGTAGCCGTTTACGCAACAATGGCGGTGTTGCACGGTTTGACGGTATATATCTTCCTTACGGCAAACATACCCCTTATATTGCACATGGCCAAATAAGTCATATCGTCATGGGCATACGCAATGTGACATGCGCCTTGCTGGACATGCCCAGGCCCATACGAAATCTAGCAAGGGTACGTTTACAATAAGGGTCACAGCGACCACACGGTTTGGCCTCTGACGCAACAATGGCGGCTACGCCATGTGGTCGCTGACGCAACAATGGCGGCTACGCCGTGTGGTCGCTGACGCAACAATGGCGACTACGCGGTGTAGCCGCAGACGCAACAATGGTGGCACTCACCAGTAGATTTGGCATCGAATACGACCGGTCGATCTCGTCTCCGACCATCCTCAGGTGTTCGGCGATCTGTCGCTGCATCTCATCGCTACTCGCCGTCCACCGCCGCTGCTGCTGCTGCTGACCCTGCACGAGGTCGGGAAGCTGCGTACACCTAGCTGCGAGGGCGCCAGGAGTTCCCTGCTGCCCGCCGTCATGGCAACCGCCGTCATCGTCGTCGTGACGCCCGTTGCCCATATCGATGGGTTCGATGTGCGCACCTAGCCGAAGAAAAACACAAATGCGAGACCGGTGAGAAAACGACGCGTCGACCAACCAATGAGAAAAGAATGTTCTCTCGAAATCGGCCGCCAATGAGAAAATAATGCGCTCGCGTGCGACTGGCTTAATTGGCTTCGGGGTTGCGGGAGGAACGACTGCAGCGTTGTTGCAGTGTTTACCAGGCATGCACGACGGTCGCCCGCCGGGCGAGGCTCGAGGGCGCGCGCGCTGCAAGATTTAATGAGTTTGATTAATTTATCGCGGCGATTTAAATACGTTATCGCATTATAAAGTAATTAACCGAAGAGCGAGCACACAGACACACGCGCGCGCAGACACGCACACACGCGCACACACGCAGGCGCACGCAGGCACGCTCGCACGACAGGCGGTGTCGGCGATGTTAAATGGGTGAGGCGCGAAAATCCTGTGAAATCGTCGACGCCATTTTCTCATTAGTGCGCCTAATTGGGTGGCAAACAGCCGTCAACGCCGAACTATAATCCAAACCCTTGTCTGCTTATCCCACAAATAAGCTCATCTCTGTTGTTTCCTTAAAAAAACGTTCACCTTGTCCGATTATTATCCACTAGTTACCGCGTCTGTGCACTGAGAGAGAATGTTACCATAGCTACCGTATACTATAGGCCTACACTTATACATCCATCTAATGGCGATATCTGCTGCATAAATTCTAGAGGATATAATTATAATACTATAAATAACCCATCGTTATAGTCAGTCCTGGATGTCCCTGGCCAGAGATACTAAGACCTATTAAGTACACAAACAATTTAATAACCATTTCAATGTGTAACTATTTTTACCTTGGCCGTTGGACTTTAGTCATAGACGACTGCTATCGCTAACCCGTGATACTAAGGTTTAGGTTATTTACCATTTGTATATTTCACCTGGGACGTTCGACATATCTGAGTAGAGATAGGTTAGTTCCCGCAATGAGAGGTAATTAACCGGCTCAGGGGCAATTTGTGTGTATGCGTGCGTGCGTGAATCGGTGCGCGCGCGTGAGTGTGCATGAGCGTGAGGGCGTGCGCGTGTGTGTGTGTCTATGTGTGTCTGTATGCGTGCATGTCTGTATGCGTGCGTATATATGTGTTTGTCAGTGGGGAGCGCACATGACCGCACGCAGTAGCCTCATGTCATCACATCATTATCGGCACGCTCGCCGCGTGCGGGAAACACAACCACCGTCACTTCCCACCTGCCCGCCTCCGCCCGCCGTCGCCCGCGGACGGTCCGGTGAGCGGGGTGTCCGGAGACCAGTGTCCACGCACGGCGTGACGCGACTCGCTGCGTGCGTGCGCGCATTATCTCTCACTCGCGCCCTCTGTCCCGTCCCTCGCCACAGGCGCACGGATGCTCGATGAGCTATGCATAACGCACGCATGCACGCATACGCACGCACACGCGCAAGTTCGCGTGCGCACGCTCACG